TAAAGTCAAACACAAAAGTTTTATATGTCATTAAATTTTTTAGACAATTCTCCACTATAATATATAATATTAATTAAAAATATATACATATATGTGTGTATTTTAGATGCGAAATAACACAGATAAAATGGGTATAAACGAAAATCGCGGAATATCGAATTTATACCATTCGAACCTATATATTTTTTAAAACTTAGAGTCACAGACAAAATTTTTATGTCATTTGATTCGGAAAACAATTATACACCAGAATATATAATATAAACTCTAGATATAATTTTTGAATTTCTAATGGTCAATAATTAAACAAGTATAGAAAAGTGTATGTTTTAAATTCATTTCAAAATCTCATGTAAAATAATCATTAATTTTTATATTATCACACATATCATTTTGCACTTCATTACCGATTTCGAATATTTTCGGGCATGGGTGTTTAGTTTACAATCGATCTTCTACACAACCATACGTGTTAACTACCTGGGAAAGCTAACACCTGTTTTCAAGGTCAACGGGTCTCTTAACAATGCACGTGTGAAATTTCATTTCTTGTTAATTGATAAATTTGTAAATCGAATTGTGTGAAGCGTGTATAAACTTTCATATTTAATAAATTATAAAACGAAATTTATTTTACATTAATTATTATACAATTATGCAAATAATATAATTATATAATTAATTTGTATTTAAAATTTTGAATAGAAAAAAATTAATTTTTTATATTTTATTATTAAATTATTTCGTATGAATTAAAATCTGGTTTAATATAATTTTGTTTAATATTTATTTATTGACTGCTCTTGAATTTTTTAGAACGACGAATTTGAAAAAAAAAAGTAGGTGGCTACTCGAAGGAAATCGAATTCGGACTCTTCTGATCGGTGGTAAAATTACAATGGCGCAAATTGTTTTGGCCGAAATAGAACCAGAAACTAGGCTTAAAAGTTATGACCTATTATCAAAAGAATGATTTTAATTATGGCTCGCATTAGAACTTCGAATCAGGACCCGGGTGCACGAGTTACGTTGGGAGTGTCCAGAGCCGGCCCTACCATAGGGCGAACGGAGCAGCCGCTCCAGGCGCTAAGTCCTAGGGGGCGCCTCAGGGGTAAAGAAAATTAAAGGGTATAAATTAGGGGCAACCGAGGGGGCGCCATTATAGGATCTAGCTCCATCCTAAAACTTGCCTCGGGCTGGCACTGGGAGTGTCGTGGTATCAACTCGTTCATTATACCACACATTTGTATGATATGATACCACATTATACAAATGGGGCGGCTTTTACTTTTTTGAAAAAATTTTTTAAAATATTAAAACTTTAAAGGTTAAAACTAAATAGATAACCGTTGTTTTTTCATCTGTAAGCGCGTTTGATCAGGGATAAAAGTAATACTACACTCGAAATGCATAGTAATAATAAATACTAACTTCAAGCGTTAGTATTTATTTTTACGATGCATTTCGGGTGTAATTTTGTCTTTTTTGACAATCAGTAATCGTGTAGCGTTTACGACTTTTCTTTAAATTACACAGCAACTTAAGCTGTGATATAAATCGCTGGCCATTATAAATAAACATTGAATAACTTTTTAAACTTACAATTTTTATATTTTATTTATTTATTTACTTTGTTAATTGGTTACGAACTGGAAGAGTTTGAGCTATTAGGCTATTCACCTCTACACGAACGAGCGTCTAGCTGCAGAATCACATTGGCTGGCCGACCGTAATGCTTCTAGCGAAATGTATCGAGTGAATTCAAAATCAGTAGGTTGAACTAACACGTTTTAATAAAAAAAACTATGTTCATTTACATATGAACATGATTTATACAACTTGACTTTAGCGAAATATCAATTTATAGTATGATATACAGAAGCAAGCCACTATATGTGACGATGTCACAATAAGTAATTTCTCGTTGTATATGTAAATGTGTTTAATTATAAGTTTGAAGTAAAAGAAAACAAAGTAGTGTTTAAACATCTCAATAAGGTCTACCAGTGGTCAAGCGGTCTTCGTACCCTGAACATTGGGAGTTCGGTCTAACGCCTAAATAGGGCAAGTTTCCCTTAAAAAGACCTCCTGGAAGTCACCCCTTAGGCAGATCGCCCAAGTGTTGCGTTGCCATAACTTAACAAAACAAACATCTCGATAAACAAAGCATACTGGATATACTGTATTTCGCTAGAAATGCTACAAGCAGTCTCAGCCAGCCAATGTGTTTCTGCAGCTAGACGCTTGTCGGCATGAGAGTATTGGTTGGACGGTTGTTGGTGCCATCTAATGGCGATAGTACTTAACCACGGGAACTGTTAATGTTTGTAGTACTGTTTCCATTGTTCTTCCATTGTCTTTTCGTTCTCTATTTTTACGAGTTTGGTTAGGTTTTCCGAAGAGATAGTTTCCGAGGTGTAAGTCGTAGGCGGCTCTGTTTTTGTTAGCTTGTCTGCGTGTTCGTTAATGTATATGTCCGTATGTGTTGGAGTCCAGGTAAAAATGATTTCTGTGACTGCTGGCTCTGGTGGGGATGGTGTAGCGTAGTTGAGTGATTATGGTCGGTGGTCTAGTGTTGTTAGATTGTAATGCGGTGAGCATGCTCATTGAGTTGGTGCATTGTGAAGTGTTTGTATTTCTGAGTACCGTAGTATATAGCCTGCGGAACAGCGTAACTTTCTGCTGTGAATACGGTCCCCTCCGTGTGTAATGTGTAGTGAGCGCTGATGTTGGCTGAGATGTCGATGTTTGGGACAGTAATGTTCTATTTGTCTTTGGAACCTTCGGTGCCTATCAAGGCGTCAGTTGGTGTTGCGATATCCAGTGGTAAATGTTTAACGATGGTGGTATTGCGAATTGACTGTTGCTGGAGCGGGAGCGAGCGGATATAAATTGTGGGTGTGATGGGGATGGTATGGATATTTTATTTAAATCTTTAGTTACAAGCAGAAGCATTAAGTGGCTATTTGATGTCTCCAAAAAACTAACCATATGATACTACAGTGGTACCTCAAAACTGGAACTCAATTCGTTCCTAGAAGGCGTTCGAGTTCCAAAAACATTTTTTCCCACGATGACTAATATAAAGTGAATTAATCTGTTCCTAAACACCAAACATGGCCCATTTTAATTCTAAAAAAATCCTAATTTAATTAAAGTGAAATAACAGAAATGCCTAATTAATAAATAAAACAACAACAACAGATTAAAAACAATAAAAAAATAACAACGCAATAAAATGAAAACAGTATCGTAACTTCATTTACATTAGTGAAGAGTGCACGCACTCGGCTCTCACGCTTAACGACGTGTCCCTTTTTTACCTCAATCGTTGCTCTTTCAAGCTTTCTCTGAGATTTCTTAGGCGCAACAGTAAATGCACTAGGATGTTATTTAAAAAACTGCCAAAAAACAGAGAGTAGAAAAATTGAGGATGCTTTCGGAATGAGAGCAGAGACGAACTGAGAGCGGCTAGACTAGTTCGTGTCCATCCACTCTGTTCTTCCTCGTATCAACGACGTTACAATTACCGTATGTAACAGTGTCCACTATGGCATCTTTGTGTTCGAGTTCCAAGAAAAGTTCGACTTTTGGGACAAAATTTCCTTCAAAGAAACAAGTGCTCGGATTCGAGTCGTCGTTCGACCACTGTAGCGTTCGAGTTTCCAGGTACAGTACCACTATTTAGTTTTACTTACAAGCAGCTCCATCAAGCGGCTATTTGCCCTCCCGAAAACCACTCATATCATACTTTAGAACTTGACAATCATTATTCATATTGGCATTTGAAAAATTAAAAAAAAGGCCTGCAACGAGTAAACACTTTAATAAAGATTTTTTAAAATTAAAAATAACCAATCGGCTGAAAAATTAAGCGAAAAGTTCGACAGAATCTGGCAAGTAAATCTACTTTGAATGAAACAAGCTATTTCATTATAGCTTGTTAGGGCTCACCAATGGCCGTACCCTGAACACTGGAAGTTCGGTCATGGGTTCTCGCCTTCCTCGGACGGTAAAAAAAAGGCCAACAATAAAATTATTAGTTCCAGGATTGTACGGAAACTAATAATTTGGCTTAAATTTGATGGTGTTGCGATGTCCTCAGCATTTGAATAGTTAGAATTGAAAAAATATCAGGAAAGATGTACTTCATTCAATGCAGAATTGAGTCTTTCAACTTTTAACCTATGAAAATTTGGGGATCTAACTCAAACTTGAGTTTCTTAAACAGGTTTAGGACTAAACCTGGGGCCGTATTCTGGTCGCTGTCTTTGGTCTCTCACAAGCCAGTTGCTGATTGGCTAAGCCAAATGATTAGCCAATCAGTGACCGGCTTGTGAGAGACGAGAGACCAAAGACAGTGACTAGAATATGGCCCCTGTGTTTCTAGAGCAAGATGGCAGCAAAATGACGCCATCTTGTTAAGTATTTTGGCAGGAAACTGTCATTCTTACTCTAATGGAATGATTTTAAAATGGAAAATGGTAGATTGTATACCCAGTGAAAACAATTAGAGGTGCATGTGTTCTGATTAAATGGCAAAGAAGGCTCCAACACCATCCATTCTGTACCATAAGAATCTGAAGCAGTTTTGGCACTTGTGGAGATCATACATCCTATTGAAGTTGGCAGAATGTATTGCAACATGCAACATCAGTACACTGCATAACAATTTGGCTCACAATGCACATTTTTTTTACATATTGCTGTATATTTTGCTATATCTTACATAACAATATGGTTTTCTACATGACATCTGCTTTTCTGTTTATACATCAACTTACGTGGCATCTTCTAGCATGAAATATCATGTGAACCCATCAAACATTTCTTAGCTGGGTGACTGATTTCTCAACAATAATTATTGGATCAATAGAATAAGGCAACGCAACACATGGGCAATCTGCATACGGAAAACTGATCCATTTAGTGGAGAAAAGCTGAAAAATTCCACATGCTCCCGTCGGCAAATGATTTGATTTTAATAAAAATACATCAAATAATAAAAACTGTTTTTATTGTAAAAACCAATCGGAACGGCAACTCATACATTTTTCACAATGTGGATGGTATGAAACACGACACTGAATATTGTTAAAAATGGAATGAAGGACTGAACTGATTTCATGGGCATCTCTCTGTGATTGTCAATGGGATAAAGGTTTNAAGTTTTTTTTTTTTTAAATTGTTTGAGTTTATCTTGATTGAACATCGATGTTCCAATGGGCATCGATCAAACATCGATGTGAAATCCGACATCGAAATTTAGCATCGATGCTTAGGCAAACATCGATGTTTGACATCGATGTTAAAATTATAGACATCGCACAGCACTGTATGTCCGTATGTGTTGGAGTCCAGGTAAAAATGATTTCTGTGACTGCTGGCTCTGGTGGGGATGGTGTAGCGTAGTTGAGTGATTATGGTCGGTGGTCTAGTGTTGTTAGATTGTAATGCGGTGAGCATGCTCATTGAGTTGGTGCATTGTGAAGTGATTGTATTTCTGAGTACCGTAGTATATAGCCTGCGGAACAGCGTAACTTTCTGCTGTGAATACGGTCCCCTCCGTGTGTAATGTGTAGTGAGCGCTGATGTTGGCTGAGATGTCGATGTTTGCGACGATAGTGTTCTATTTGTCTTTGGAACCTTCGGTGCCTATCAAGGCGTCAGTTGGTGTTGTGATATCCAGTGGTAAATGTCTAACGATGGTGGTATTGCGAATTGATTGTTGCTGGAGCGGGAGCGAGCGGATATAAATTGTGGGTGTGATGGGGATGGTGTGGATATTTAATTTAAATCTTTAGTTACAAGCAGAAGTATTAAGTGGCTATTTGGTGTCTCCAAAAAACTAATCATATGATACTACAGGGGTACCTCAAAACTCGAATTCAATTCGTTCCTAGAGGGCGTTCGAGTTCCAAAAACATTTTTTTCCCCATGAAGACTAATATAAAGTGAATTAATCTGTTCCTAAACACCAAACATGCCCATTTTAATTCTAAAAAATCCTAATTTAATTAAAGTAAAATAACAGAAGTAAATACCTAATTAATGAATAAAACAACAACAGATTAAAAACTAACAAATAACGCAATAAAATGAAAACACAGTATTTTAACTTCATTTACATTAGTGAACAGTGCATGCGCTCGGCTCTCACGCTAAACGTGTCCGTTTTTTACCTCAATCGTTGCTCTTTCAAGCTTTCTCCGAGATTTCTTAGCCTCAAGAATCTTCTTAGGCGCAACAGTAAATGCACTAGGATGTTATTTAAAACTTTACTGCCAAAAAACAGCGAGTAGAAAAAATTATTTGAGGATGCTTTCGGAACGAGAGCAGAGACGAACTGACTAGTTTGTGTCCATCCACTCTGTTCTTCCTCGTATCAACGACGTTACAATTACCGTATGTAACATTGGCCACTATGGCATCTTTGTGTTCGAGTTCCAAGAAAAGTTCGACTTTTGGGACAAAATTTCCTTCAAAGAAACAAGTGCTCGGATTCGAGTCGTCGTTCGACCACTGTAGCGTTCGAGTTTCCAGGTACAGTACCACTATTTAGTTTTACTTACAAGCAGCNTGTACTCTATCCAATGCAGAATTGTCTTTCAACTTTTAACCTATGAAAATTTGGGGATCTAATTCAAACTTGAGTTTCTTAAACAGGTTCGGGACTAAACCTGGTGCCGTATTCTGGTCGCTGTCTCTGGTCTCTTACAAGCCAGTTGCTGATTGGCTAAGCCAAATGATTAGCCAATCGGTGACCGGCTTGTGAGACAAGAGACCAAAGACAGTGACTAGAATATGGCCCCTGCGTTTCTAGAGCAAGATGGCAGCAAAATGACGCCATCTTGTTAAGTATTTTGGCAGGAAACTGCCATTCTTACTCTAATGGAATGATTTTAAAATGGAAAATGGTAGATTGTATACCCAGTGAAAACAATTAGAGGTGCATGTGTTCTCATAAAATGGCAAGGAAGGCTCCAACACCATCCATTCTGTACCATAAGAATCTGAAGCAGTTTTGGCACTTGTGGAGATCATACATCCTATTGAAGTTGGTAGAATGTATTGCAACAAGCAACATCAGTACACTGCATAACAATTTGGCTCACAATACACATTTTTTTTTTACATATTGCTGTATATTTTTCTATATCTTACATAACAATATGGTTTTCTACATGACATCTGTTTTTCTGTTTATACATCAACTTACATGGCATCTTCTAGCATGGAATACTATGTGAACCCATTAAACATTTCTTAGCTGGGTGATTGATTTCTCAACGAGAATTATTGGATCAATGGAATAAGGCAACGCAACACATGGGCAATCTGCATATGGAAAACTGATCCATTTAGTGGAGAAAACCTGAAAAATTCCACATGCTCCCGTCGGCGAACGTGAACCCACGACTGAATAATGTTGTCCCGCAGTTTGATTTTAATAAAAATACATCAAATAATAAAAACTGTTTTTATTGTAAAAACCAATCGGAACGGCAACTCATACATTNGCATTTGAATAGTTAGAATTGAAAAAATATCAGGAAAGATGTACTTCATTCAATGCAGAATTGAGTCTTTCAACTTTTAACCTATGAAAATTTGGGGATCTAACTCAAACTTGAGTTTCTTAAACAGGTTTAGGACTAAACCTGGGGCCGTATTCTGGTCGCTGTCTTTGGTCTCTCACAAGCCAGTTGCTGATTGGCTAAGCCAAATGATTAGCCAATCAGTGACCGGCTTGTGAGAGACGAGAGACCAAAGACAGTGACTAGAATATGGCCCCTGTGTTTCTAGAGCAAGATGGCAGCAAAATGACGCCATCTTGTTAAGTATTTTGGCAGGAAACTGTCATTCTTACTCTAATGGAATGATTTTAAAATGGAAAATGGTAGATTGTATACCCAGTGAAAACAATTAGAGGTGCATGTGTTCTGATTAAATGGCAAAGAAGGCTCCAACACCATCCATTCTGTACCATAAGAATCTGAAGCAGTTTTGGCACTTGTGGAGATCATACATCCTATTGAAGTTGGCAGAATGTATTGCAACATGCAACATCAGTACACTGCATAACAATTTGGCTCACAATGCACATTTTTTTTACATATTGCTGTATATTTTGCTATATCTTACATAACAATATGGTTTTCTACATGACATCTGCTTTTCTGTTTATACATCAACTTACGTGGCATCTTCTAGCATGAAATATCATGTGAACCCATCAAACATTTCTTAGCTGGGTGACTGATTTCTCAACAATAATTATTGGATCAATAGAATAAGGCAACGCAACACATGGGCAATCTGCATACGGAAAACTGATCCATTTAGTGGAGAAAAGCTGAAAAATTCCACATGCTCCCGTCGGCAAATGATTTGATTTTAATAAAAATACATCAAATAATAAAAACTGTTTTTATTGTAAAAACCAATCGGAACGGCAACTCATACATTGTTCACAATGTGGATGGTATGAAACACGACACTGAATATTGTTAAAAATGGAATGAAGGACTGAACTGATTTCATGGGCATCTCTCTGTGATTGTCAATGGGATAAAGGTTTCCTTCACATCAGTCATAATGTATAACAGAAAACACCATAATCCAAGTCACCTGAAAAAATTCAAGTACAAATTAAATATACATAAATAATATTACATAAAAAATGTGTATGGGATGATCGTAATTGAAGAGTAGGTGTTTGGAGTTCTCTAAGTAATTTCTGATCTAGAGTTGCAAAACATTCATAATTATACTATACTGGATAGTCGTAGTGCTCAATTTGCTCAATCATGCGCTATGCTCACTTGTTAAAACCACAAACGTGGTAACATTTCCTTAGAAATTGTACTACATTTTCAAATGTACCTGAGAAAATCAGGAGAAATTCAAACTGACCAATCAGAATCAGTATATGATGTACAGTACAAGGTGTCTGCACACACATTTTAGTGGAAGCAAGTCAACAAGTGACGGAAATGGTAACTGAACCAACAATAATTTGAATATTGCATTAAAGAAACCAAGATTTTTGCAAAAATTAATTTCAATGTATGAGAGCGTATGTGGTCACATGCAAATTGCATTTCTTCCAGGGCTGTGGAGTCGAAGTCGTGGAGTTTTGGCCGGAGTCAGAGTCATCAAAAAATCCACTGACTCCGACTCCCTTTTTACTTACCAACTTGTTATGTATATGAAATGGAGTCGGATGGTAAGGAAAAGTTGGAGTCGGTAGATTTTTACGCGACTCCACAGCCCTGATTTCTTCTTTGAAACCAAGTGTGCCAATGTTTCCAACAGTTCTACGTACAGAATGCTCTGAACTACTACTCTTCAATTACGATCAATATTTAGTGATTAAATTCTAATTAGAATAATTTTTACTTTAAATTAAGATAGCATATGTGATTCTAAAGTTAGTAGAGTGATGTAAATTTTGAATAATTTGTGTAACAAAAAGGAATTCTACACACTAATCAGATTTTAATAACTAAGCGTAAATACAATATTTTTGTCGACAAAAATCAGTTTTGTACATGGGCCATGCGGTCGGGTTACTCTTTACAGCATGGTTCAATGGAATGTGGCAATGCAATACGTCGTTAATCTGCTGAGAGTGGGTGTCGCCCGGGAGGACTTGTGTGATGGGCACGCTGTTAAATGGAGGTACCAACCGTCTAACTAAAAGTGGAATTTTTTGGATTAATGGAAGCTAAATTCTAAATTGAAATGTCTCAAAGGGAAAGTATCAAAAATCCGAACATAAAAAAATTAGAATTCGGCCATCGATAAACGGATACAATCCTTTCAATGGTTAGTTGTTATCGTTTGTTTTGTTTGTTAAGTTATGGTAACACAACACCTGGGCAATCTGCCTATGGGGGATGCCTTCCAGGAGGTCTTATTTAAGGGAAACTGGCCCCCATTTAGGCTTTACAGATGTGGAGAAAACGCGGAAAACTCCACGTGGTGAACACACGACAGAACTCCTAGTGTTCAGGGTACAAAGACTGCTTGGCCACTGGTGGGCACTTCAAATGGTTGGTAATTTTGTTGTTGTGTTCTGTTGGTCTTGCATTGTTCGGATTCTAATGTTCATTCAAAATTTGGAATTGTTAATTTTGAGATTACGAATAATGTGTTTTTTCTTAAAATATTGTGATTCTGCAAATTTTATTTTGAATCTTTGTAAGTACTTGTATGATGAAATACTGGCTTAAACTCACAACACCTAAACTTGAATTACAGTGTATTTGAAGTTTACAATACTTAAAATGCTAATTTATACATATATTTTAAAATCAGGATGGGATATGGTATTCTCACTTCCTCAGCCATTTCTTTACAAATATAAACAAAACACCAAACGCTTGCTGAGCTTATTATTACTTTAATTTCAAACATTTTCAGCCCAATTCCAATAGGCCATCTTCAAGAACTTACTATTCTACAATCGAATACAACTTTCGAATAAATTTTAAATTTAAACTTTTAACATAAACTGTAAATATTAACTATTTAACATATTTTTAAATATCACCGTAAACCATTAAATATTTAACCCTTACATTACCGGTATACCCCGCCCCCCTGTTTACGTTCATTGTATAAAAGGGCCAAGGGCAGTATAGGTCAGACATGTTTTATTACTTTAAAAATTCACCAAAAATCAATTTATCGTTATATTCATATGACAAAAATTACGTTACATTTATTAATATCTGTAGTTATAAATACGATATTTTTAAATACATTTAAATATAAACTTCAATAAAAAAAAAATTAAAATATTTCAGACCTGACATCTGTCTGTGAAAATTTGCAACATTTTTGTAAAATTCACATACTCCAGTTAAGTAGTTTGTTCTTGGCACCAAGCCAGAACGACTTGAAATATCGTTCTGTACAATTCGATATAACATTTATGAATGTACGATTATTAGTTTTAAAATTATCACAGATTATAATATATCCTTT